ATCTTGGTGCGGCCGCACCCGCGTCCGCGCCCGCCCCCGCGCTATCCCCGCGCCGCATGGAGGGGCGCAGGGCCCCGGGGGGCTGGGACGGCGCGGCGCCGTGGAGCCGGGGGGCCGCTGCCGCCGCTGCTGTCGCCGCTGCTGCTGCTGCTCTGGCTACTGCCCAGCCCCGGGGCGCCCGAGGAGCTGAACCCGCGCGGCCGCAACGTGTGCCGTGCGTCCGGGTAGGAGCCCGGCCTGGCTGGGGGAGGGAGGCCGAGGAGGACGCTCGGGGCCGGGGAGAGGGGAGACCCGGCATGGGGGAGGGTGGCATCCGGGACCTCCCTGCGCCCAAAGCGCCGGCCCCTTCAGCCACCCTCGCCGACGCCGGCTCCGCTCCAGGCCGAGACTGGGCGCCGGGCCACGACGGAGCATCCGAGGGTACCCCGGGCGAGAAGTCAGCAGAGGGGAGACGGGGTGCAGTGGGCGCCGGGAGGGGTGACACACGGGGCCCGAGATTTCAGACCTGGAAAAAGGGAGCCTTGGGCGGGGTTGTGCAGGCTGTAGGAAGAGGTCGGGGAAGGGCATTCCAGACAGATGGAATGGTATGTGCAAAGGCCCGCGGCGTGAGTGTGACTCCAGCTCAGAGGACGGTGAGGGTCAGGGGGGGATGGAGCTGTGCGGTGGGGAGGCGGGAGCCGGGAGGTCCGGGGCAGTGAGACTCGAAGGACTGATCCGATGAGTTTCTTAGAAAGCGCGGGCGCGGTCGGGAGACGGGCGGTGGTAGAGGTGGGCACCGAGGAGCCGGTGCTCAGAGTGAACCAGAAGCGGGAACGGAAAGGACAATGACGTGCACCGGCTCGGAGTACGTGAAACTCCCGGTGGGGAAGCCAGTGTGGGACCGGCACGCGACAGGCCTGCCGGGGGTGGGGGGCGAACATCAGAGGGCGCAGGAGCTGGAGGACCTGGTCGGCCAGTCGGAGGCCACGGCGAGGTCGGGACATCTCCGCTCGGGGGCAAGGAGCCGGCATGTGAGGAGGAGCCGCGCGGGCGGGAAGCTGCCGCGGGGCACCCAGCGGGGTCCGGTCGGGGGCGCCCCGGGCCGCTGAGCTCCGGGAGGCCGCGTCCGGGGCTCGGCC